ACGAGGTGACTGCGATTGAACCCATACTAGGCACGAATGTGAAATTTATTCTCGCTCTATCTTCATTTCTATCGCGCCGCTGGTGTTGAAATGCTTTGAGCGGGAGACCGGTGTTTCTGCTCCTAGGGTCAGTCACCACAGTAGGGGAGCCCCAACTCGACCGTACCGTCTCCATCTCAGCTCTTATCCTGAGTCCATCGGTGACAGCGCGTGAATCCATCCCACCTCTAAGCCAGTGCAAGTGCTTCCTTGGAACAAATCAGGTCGTAAAGAAGTTACTCTTCACCATGGGTGAGAAGACCAAAAAGAGTTCCTATTGATGGTGCCGCAATAGACAAATGGAAGCGCTACTACGTAGAGTTTTCTTCAATGCTGTGCTATGTAGCACTCCTACTTTTTCAAAGTAGCGATAAGTAAGCCAATCAGATAGTCTGATCCAATCCCTTAAATGTTTATCGAAGGCTTGATCGGGAATCAGATCCAGTTTTGTTTTATACATAGTAATGTATAGCTACATGATATAGCAATATAGGATGTTCCACCACTTCTCCGCAGGTGAAAGATCACTTGATCCGTTTATTTGATTTAAATAATGTATAACCCAACAGAACAGTCAAGTAAACAGTCACTAACATTAAGCAAGTCTAGCACATTGCCCAGAACTCTCAAGTAAACAGTCACTAACATTAAGCAAGTCTAGCACATTGCCCAGAACTCTCTAAAGTATTGGATACATAAACTGGATTTGAATGCGGGGTCAACTAATGAACTCACTCTCTAGTGGGGTCTCTCTCTGTAGTCCCGTCTTTTCGTGGCTCTTTCATTGACATACGAATTTGTAGGTCCTCCCCTAGTGGTTCTGTAATGTTTGGCTCAAGAGTCTGGCCTGGCTGGTCTTTTAAAAGCACCCCATGCTGTCGAAACCACTCCTGCATGTGAGAGGCCCGATGCTTTGAGTCGCTGCTCTGCCGACAGACAAAGTCCAGGTCGTGCGGCAGCCATGCCTACGGATACATGACACCTTCCAAAACATGACAGCAAACGTCTGCCTTCATCGCTACCTCAGTCGTGTAGCGTGGTCCCACTTTTTTCCAAGGCAACCTTATCAAGCCTCCGCCAAGTTTCACAATTGGCAGCTGATTTTTGGATCAAAACGTTCCCTCTCGTGGTGCCGTACATTACTAGTATCCTTGCTGTCATGCATCAGTAATATGTTTTTGTCATTCCAGATGACCTTAGAAACCTGTATCAACCTTCGTTTCAGGCTTAGTCAATCACATTCTACTCCCACCCACTTCACAGCGAGCGCTCTTCTTAGACTTTGAGAACTAAGGAATACGTAGTATAGACTTAGATTCTAGAAGATGTTATGTATCCGTAGACATGGCTGCCACACGACCTGGCTTTGTCTGTCAGCAGAGCAGCGACTCAAAGCATCGACCCGACTAGAGAGTGAGTTCATTAATTGACCCCGCATTCAAATCCAGTTTATGTATCCAATACTTTAGAGAGTTCTGGGCAATGTGCTAGACTTGCTTAATGTTAGTGACTGTTTACTTGACTGTTCTGTTGGGTTATACATTATTTAAATCAAATAAACGGATCAAGTGATCTTTCACCTGCCTTCATTAATTTCGAAAAATCTAAAATTTTCTAAACCCAAATTTGAGCTGAAGGTTGAAATTTTCTGTGTGGATCACAAAACACGTAGTTAATAATTGTTGCAAATTTGGAGACGTTGCATTGCAAGCTTGCATTCAAGTGACTGGGAAGTACATGGGAGGCGATTCGGGGCCGCCTCCAAAAAATAAGCCCCTTGTTCCGCTCCAGGATAGCGTGGCTAACTACCTGGAGGTCTATCCTAGCCCACACGACAGAGCCTGGCAAGCTACTCGTGTGCCTTCAATATGCCGAAAACAGCAATATGGATGGGCCTCATTCCCCTGAACCTGAGGGAGCCCCCAATACGGCAGCGCT